CCTTGGAATATTCTGTGGGCAAGGAGCCAGACTCAAAGGCCATACAATATATGAGCCACTTATGATGTATGTCCAGAGTGGGTAAATCCGCAGACAGAAAACAGATTCATGGATGCTGAGGATGGGGGGCGGGGGGCAGTGTTAATCCCCGTGGGGTCTCCCTTAGGGGGGGTGAGAATGTTCTGGAAAGACAGGCATTGTGAATGTACAAGAAGCCACTGAAATGTTCACTTAAAATGGCTAGCTTTTAAAACAATGTTACACAATTGCAAAATGTAGCAAAATATTTGCCTATTTTAACTCTAAGTATTCAATTCAGTGACATCAATTGCATTCACAATGTCCTGCAACCATCATCGCTCTTCATTTCCGGATCGTCACTGCCTCAAATAGTAGACTGGTGTATTTATATTACGTGAGCCTCATCTCAATCTATCTCATCTCTGTCTCTCTCTCTAGGTATCTATCTATCAGCTGCTCCTTGGAAACCCTATATAGGGTTGCTGTGAGTCAGAGCCAGCAGTTAACAACAACTATATTTATGTATCATTCTTCTCCCGCAGAACAGCTGGTAGTTTTGAACTGCCGACCTTGAGGTTAGCAGCCCAACTCCACAGAGCTCCCATAAAGATTTACCGCCTTGGAAACTCTATACAGGGTTGCTATGAGTCAGAACCGACAACACGGCACACAATCACCACCATAGCTATGTATATATAAATATATGCGTAGCATGGTGAGCAACGTCTTAAATAATGCAAGAATAAAAACGAAAATAAAATGAACCCAGCGCTCCCATGGGCCTCTGTGTGGCCAGACGGAGGGACGTGCTGGAGAACCTTCTGGAAAGTCAGTACTGCCTGGCCACGGGTTGAGTGGGCAGCGGACGCACCTCCTCCGTCGTCCAGAAGCGGCACCTGCTGGGAGCTGACAGATGGCTGGTCCCTGAGGCCCTTCTGGCCTCATTTCTGTTCAGTGTTCGAGTTGCGCTGCCCCTCCCGCTCACCTCCTGGGAGATGACCCCGTGGGCTGCTTTACAACTCTGGGGGTGCTGTAGTTTCCCTCCCCACGAACACCTGGCACTGCCCTCAGGGGGGCTTGGGTCTCACTTGGCATTCTGGGTGGACATTGAGCTCTGGTAGGAACAATGTCCAGGGTGGGACCTGCCCCTCCCCATAAATGCAGAACCCTGCACTGCGCATTAGAAATGCAAGACAGAGAAATGCAAGCTTGCATTAGAAATGCAAGACAGAGAAATGCAAGCAGCTTGCATTAGAAATGCAAGCTCCACTTGCTTTACAAGGAACACTTTTTATAAAGAACAAGCTCCTTGTAGCCAGGGTCTCCTCTCAGACCAAGGCCTATCCCCCTGGGGGTGATCCTGATGGGCTCTGAACACCGGTCACCTTCCCAGGGAGGACAGACACTCCTGGTGGACAGTATCCTGCAGAGCCCAGCCCCCTGGGGTCTCCTTGGCAAATGCTGAGACCCCCCACCCCCACCCTACACAGTGCAGCTGCAGATGGGGATTGACTTCGGACAAGTTTGGGCGAGGGCAGCCCCGATCCTGTGGCAGTTACATCCCTCCCATTCACAATGGGGCACAACAAGGTCCCCACTTTACCCAGCCCAGGGTGGGGACTCTTATGGATTGAATTGTGTGTCCCCCAAATGTGTCCATTTGGTCATGAGTCTCTCATGTAACTTATGTAATTTCTCCAGGCTGTGATCTGATGTCATTGCCCCCCGGGTTGTGAATCCTCACCTCAGAAACCCCTCAGAGGGTCACTGAGGCCGAACCGACTCCACGGCACTGAACAGCGACAGCAGAGACGTTACTGGAGTCCTGGTGTGGCTCTGTGGGCTAAGCACTGGACCACAAGGTTGGCAGATCAAGCTCACCAGCTGCTCCTTGGAAACCCTATACAGGGTCGCTATGGGTCGGAACTGACTCACCGGCACTTCACAACAACAACGATGTTTGTGAGGCCGGATTGGAGGCAGAAATACAATCCTTCAGAGATATGTTGTTGTTGTTGTTGTTAAGTGCCATCGAGTCGGTTCCGACCCATAGCGACCCTGTACAGGGTTTCCGAGGGTGTTAAAAGAGATGAAACAACCTCCAGAGATCAGAGGGTCCTCCTACCACCGAGAAAGAAGAGATGGGAGTGGAGTATGACCTCTGAACCCGGGTTCCTGCTCTGAGAACCTCAAGGCCGGGGAAGTTGATGCCAAGCCACATGGTGCTGTCTCAGGAACACAGGTGTTAAAGGAGACAAGGCCCTTCCCCCCGAGCTGACACACAGAGAAACCTCCCCTTCACTTGGAGCCCCAGTACAAACTTCCAGCTCCCTAAACGGAGAAAATACATTCTGCTTGTTAAAGTCATTCACTTGTGGCATTTCTGTTAGCACTAGGTGTGGCACTGACTGCCAACTGTACAAATCCTCCAGCCACTCCTTGGAAACCCTGCACAGAGTCGATATGAGTCGGAACCAACTTGAAGGCACTTCACGACAACAACAGAGAACTAACAGCCGTAAGGTGTGAGGCTGGGGGCCGGCTACTTGCCCCTTCTCTCTATGTCAGTTTCCTCCTCTGCCATGTAGAAGGGTGTCTGGTCCCAGTGTGGCAGCACTGTGTTCCCTGAGATGCTGCTAGGAAGGCTGGGTAGACAGAGCTGGGGTGTCTCCATGGGACCCGGGAGAACTGGCGTGGTGTGGCACAGACCAGGAAGTAACATGTCTACATCTGTGAACCTTGCCCTTGTGGGAGCCCCCTGGTGGTCACTTAGGTGTGTGGCACCCTGCGTGGGCTGCTGGGGAGCTCTGGGGCTAGGTAGCGGACAAGACCTGGGTGCCCAGACATGTGCTTAGCCACTGCCCCAGAATCTGGACCAGTGGGTGGGGTGTTTAGCTTGGGCTTGGGCCCCATTTCTGAGGGGGGAGGACGGGACTTCAGGCTCAAGGGGGAGGGGAGCATCCCAGGCAACGTGCCTCCAGGTGGAAGGTTCCCTGAGGGAGTTTTGCTGGCTCAGCATCTTCACTCTGACCCTGGGTGGACACATAGTCCTTAGGTTGACGAGTTTGTGCGCACGCGTGTGTATGTGTGTGTGCGTGCCCGTGCACACGCGCGTGTAAGGATGATCCCTTTCTCCCAGCTTGAAGACGTGTGTGGGTAAGCCCCAACTGACTCTCCCAACTCCGACGCCCACCTTCCTAGTGTAGTCCTGAGGGGCCCTAGAAGCAAATCCACTCAAGCAAACCCCATATCACAGGCCCACCCACCACTAGAGCCCTCTGTGTGTGTGTGTGGGTGTATAAGTGTGGCGTGAGTGTGCATTTGTATCTGCACATGTGTCTGAGTTTGCATATCTGTGTAACTGTGTGTACATGTGTGTGTCTGAGTGTGCACAAACGTGTTCTCACAGGTACACCCTCCCACCCTTGAAGACATCCTCACCAGTCACTGTCCTCTGACCCTGGTCACTGAATGTGGCTTGTTGTGGACACAGTGTCTGGACAGAGGCCTCTCCCTTGGTCATCTCTCCCTGCCTATCACCAAGGGCCTGCCTGGCTACTACACCTGGACACTTCCCTAGGTGGGCAGACGCCCAGGAGGGGTGCAGACCCAGTGCAAGGGATTGGCCCCTTTGCCCACTCTCTTGTCCTCGCACTGGACCCTCTCCTGGGTCACAGGCCAGTCAGCCTCACAGGATGAGAGTTTCCTGTGTCATCCACACTGGGACTCTGCCCCTCCTGGCCCCAGGCTCACACTGGAGAGGGGAGTACCAGTACTATCAGTCCCCCCTGGAGCTCCTTGGCCCTGGACAACAGATCCTGTGAAGAAGTATCCCTGGTGGGGATGGCCATCCTCCTCCATAGGCACTCACAGTAGGCACCTTCAGGTCTAGAAGGAAAAGGAGGGGGCTTTCTCCATACCCTTGTCCCTGCTATGCCCTTGGCCAGGGAGGTAGCTCCTAGCTCTCCCTAAAGCCTTGAGGGTTCTGCTCCGGTTGAAGCAGACCCCTTCTCTGTCCTCTCCCTGCAGGGCCCTGCAGGTGACTTCACCTAACTGTTTTCCTATCCAGCCAGGCATACGGAACTCACTGAGTTTGTTGAGTGAATGAATGAAGTTACATCAAGCCTCAGTTACCCTTTAACACCTCCACAGACCCAGAGGTGAAAGGGACCCCAGCCTGCCCATAAGCGGAACAAAATGGTGCTGGGGAGAGAGAACACCTCTCTTCCTAGTGTTTGCCCCCAGTGCCCTAAACTGTTTATTCCAGGTGCCTCCGAAGGGTCCTTCTGCAGGTTGTCGCGGCAAGGCACCCCAGAGGCGGTTTGTGCAAAAATATCCTTCTCCACCTCAGTGGGCGCGTGGGTGCGCTTGGAGTCAGATCTCAGTCGCCTCGGAAACTTGCGCCCCTCGAAGTGTACCAGGCCCCAGGTACCACCTGCATCCTCAGCCCACCCCGCATTCCTCCTCTCCACGCCCTAGAGGGGTACCCCTATTCCTCTTCCTCCACTGCAATGCCCCTCCTCCTGCCCCTCCCGACTCCCCTTTTCTCATCCCCGACGTACCCCCACGCCCTGTCCCCCTCCTCTTCCCTCCCGTGCCCCCTCCCACGCCTCCCTGTTGTCTTTCCTTCCACCACCTCCTTGCCCCCACCTTCTCCGTGTCCCCAACCAGCTCTCCCTCTCCTCCCCGCGCCCTGCGCTCCCGGTTCTGT